CCTTCCTTCCTTTCATTCCTCTTTCTCTCTCTCTCTCTCTCTCTCTCTCTCTCTCTCCCCTCCCCTCCCTCCCTCCTCCCTCCCTCCCCCCTCCCCCTCCCACCTTCTCTCTCTCCCTCTGAAATCAGTGAAAACATTCTTTTTTTTACAAAGAAAATCTTGGCCCTAACCGGTTTGGCTCAGTGGATAGAGCGTCGGCCTGTGGACTGAAGGGTCCCGGGTTCGATTCTGGTCAAGGGCATGTGCCTTGGTTGCGGGCACATCGATGTTTCTAACTCACTATCCCTTTCCATTCCTCTCTGTAAAAAAATCAATAAAATATATATATTAAAAGAAAATCTTGGACACTGAGATCGGAAGAATAATTTTTAAAAAGTAATGTCATTTCATGTCATAAAATTGTTTCCAATCTTTTTTCCCTTTAGTTTTTCTTGTCCCCTTAATTGTTTCTTGGCAAGTTTACTTTAAAAAAAAAAACCACCCAGGAATTTACAAATAACAGAAAAAGAAAAAAGCCAAGGAACTCTGTTTCAAAGTGGTGGTTTTCAGGTCTCAAAACTAATTGGAGATGGTTTACAGCATAGCCTTCTCTCTCTCCTCAAATGCCTCTGCTGTGTCCTGTGCAGCACACTTGTTAACGGGAATCTCTGGACACTAGGGGAGTGGAATTGGGCACTTGATTTTGTTTTCATTCAGTGAACACTGTGCAAAGCCTTGGGGCTAGGTCCTTTGAAAGTGGATGTGGTTGTAGGTAAGAGAATTGATAAGTGAACTGACCAAGACTCTGATCTTTAGCTTTAAAATATCTTCAGTGACCATGTTTTTAATGCCACCGATGAGAATATTATTCTAGAGAGTCTGCCTTTACTTATGTCAGTGTACATTTCTTTTTCCCTCTGTGTGTCACTGTATGATTTATGACCTTGTTCTCTTTGTCCTCTATCTCCTGACTTTCTCCCATAACTGATCATAATAATATAGAATTGAATTTAAAAATGAATTTTTAAACAAGGTTTTATATTCTTTGTTTGAATTTCCCTTGGTTGTTGGTTTTCAGTGGTTTCTTTTTCACCTGTGAGTAGGGGAAAGTGGCAGGAGGAGAGAAGGTTCCCCTTCTTTGTGGAAGGATCATAACTGATGGGTAAAGGGGAAAACTTCTCTATTTCAGGACCCTGCAGAGATGCCCTTTGGAACATATTTGAAAATCATTCAGGCTGTTAACCAGAGGTTCAGTGTTGTATGGTAACTCCAAGGAGAGCGTGCAAAGTAGATTTTATTGTTGTTTGTTTGTTAATCCTCACCTGAGTATATTTTTTCCAGTATTCTTTAGAGAGAGTGGAAGGGAGGGAGGAAGGGAGAGGGAGAGGGAGAAAGAGAAACCTTGATGTGAGACACATCGATTGGTTGCCTCCCACATGTGTCCCAACCAAGGCTGGGGATAGAACCTGCAACCCAGGTATGTGCCCTTGATGGGGAATCGAACCTGTGACCTTCAGTGCATGGGCTGATGCTCTAAAACCACTGAGCAATACTGGCCAGGGCAAAGTAGATATTAGATCTTAGGAATTCTTAAGCTGTTGGGGTTTCTCATTTGTATGTACCAGCACTGTCCTTGAAAAGTATGAAAATGAAATGCTTATAAAATTCTTTTGTTAGGACTAATTATTAGGATTGACTAATACTAGTATTTAATAAGCCACAGTAAAATAGTTTAAAAAATTTTAGATTTTTAATTTTTCAGTTACAGTTGACATACATTATATTAGTTTCAGGTGTACACCTGAAATGATTAGACATTGCATAACTTACTAAGTGATCATCCTGATAAATCTCATGCCCATCTGACACCACACACAGTTATTAGAATATTAATGACTATGTTCCCTATGCTGTATGTTACATCCCATGACTACTAGTATTCTGTAACTACCAATTTGTACTTCTTAATCCTTTCACCTTTTTCATCCATGCCCCCCCCACCCATCTAGCAACCATCAAAATGTTCTCTGTATCTAAGTATGAGTCTGTTTCTGTTCTGCTTGTTCATTTATTTTGTCTTTCAGATTCAGTTGTTGATTGATATGTATTTATTGCCATTCTATTGTTCATATTTTTAATCTTTTTCTTCTTATTCTTAAAGAATACCCTTTAACATTTCATGTAATACTGGTTTGGTGGTGATGAACTCCTTTGGCCTTTTCTTGTCGGGGAAGCTCTTTGTCCTTCAATTCTAAATGATAGCTTTGCTGAGTAGAGTAATCTTGGTTGTAGGTCCTTGCTTTTTATCACTTCGAATATTTCTTGCTAATCCCTTCTGGCCTGCGAAGTTTTTGTTGAGAAATCAGCTGCCAGTATTATGGGAACTCCTTTGTAGACAATGTAGGCAACTAATTGCTTTTCTCTTGCTGCTTTTTTTGAAAATATATTTTTATTGATTTCAGAGAAGAAGGGAGGGGGAGAGGGAGAGAAACATCAGTGATGAGAGAGAATCATTGATTGGCTGCCTCCTGTGTGACCCACACGGGATTGAGCCTGCAACCCAGGCATGTGCCCTGACCTGGTTCATAGTCTGACACTCAACCACTGAGCCACACTGGGTGGGCTCTTGCTGCTTTTAAGATTCTCTATTTGTCTTCAATCCCTGCTGGTTTTTACAGCCTGAAGTTATGGGGACTTACCTTCCTTGTAATGAAACTTTGGGCAGGGGGAATGGTGTGGGGCTGGGATCCCTTGCGCCGTGGGGGTGGGGGTGGGGGTGGGAGGGAACCTCTGCCGTGGAGATAGCTGTCCCAGTTTTTATCCGTTACACATGGTGTGGGACCAGCCAGTTCTGAGTCTCTGCCTTTCCGTCCAGTCTCTCTGTGGCTTCTTCTTTAATCCCTAGTTGTATGACTTCCATTCAGCCTGATTTCAGGTAGTTCTGAATGATGCTTGCTCTGTAGTTTAGTTGTAATTTTGATATGCTTGTGGGAGGAGGCGAGTACTGCATTTACCTACACCACTGTCTTGACAGGTTGTCAAAGCTTAATCTCTGAAATAGTTTTAAAATACTGGGTTTACCCTTTAAAAAAAAAAAGTGAATCAGATTTCCTCACATTGAGTTTGCATGTTGGTGCAAAACTTACATTTAGTAACTTTAGTTAATGAAATGACTTATTCATTGTCATCTATCAGTTAGGCTGGGATTCATTGGGAATAATAGCACAGTGGTGTAGGTACTTCAGGATTCTAATAGGTCACCAGTGTAAAATGACAGTGTAAGCCCAGCTGGTGTGGCTTAGTTGGTTGAATGTCCTCCCATGCACCAGGAGGTCACTGGTTTGATTCTCGGGCAGGGCACATGCCTGGGATTCGGGCTCAATCCCCAGTATGGATTGTGTATGAGGCAGCGGAT